GCCTTTATCGCCTAGATCGACAATCACCTTCGAGACTGAAACCTCCAGAAAGAAATTTGGCGAAACATCTTTGACAGGTCCGAATAAGCTTTAACCAGCAAACGAAACATTGTTTGCTTTCTGGAACTCATACCAAACGCAATGCTTTAAATGCTGTTTATCCACTGCACTTTATTCATTCTGTATTTCCTAGCTAACTGTTTATATTTGAGGAAAGATACCATATCCTAAACAATAAGCGATTACATATGACGTATTTTGTCTGCTTGCTTTAACCTGATACGTAAAATTATCTGCAGGTAATAAAATACGATAGAACTTTTCCGAGTACAAATTGTTAAATAGTACTATCTCCATTCACTTCTACATCCGAACAATGGATGCTGGTGCGTCACGACTTTACTTCCTTTTACAGTATCAAAAAATAGGCATCAGACTGCCACTTGCAGCCTATGAAAAATATTAAATTAAAATCCGGCACAACAAATATCTTTTAGCGTCAAATAAATGACTGTAGTGTAAAAATCGTCCAGATTAACCAATGAAAATGCCAATGTTCAATAAAATATATAGCACTCCTAGTGTATTGATCGGCGGTAATGAGGGCAGGCATTGAAGGTTTGATCTAAGATCTGTGTAGCTTTTTTATTCGATTATATTCCCTTCACTATTACTATTAAATTGTAACATATTTCAATTGAAGGCACGAATTCTCTCGTATTTGTATGCAGAGGCAAATGAAAATGCTCAGCAAATATTGACGCCTGCGTTTCGTGCGCATTTGTATCACAAAAACATTTCTATTCTCTTTTCATAAGATTCGTTACATTTCAGCGAGTAGAATAAAATTTATTAAGAATACATTCAAACACATGCATGCGCATGTATAAACATGAATATATGTCTACCTGTTTGTACTAAATATATTTACATATAATACATACGCTTGCATATGCATGCATGAATTCCTAATAGCAAAAAAAATTATATATAATATATATGTATACTTACGTTGTGTGTGTGTGTGTGTGTGTGTGTGTGTGCGTATGTATGTGTGTATATGCATGCGTATGCGTATAAATAAAATATGTACAGAGACTTAAAATATGAATTCTATTTATTTGTATTGTTTTTGTATAAAAGTCAATTTTTCAAACGCATAACGCACGTACGCACAAATCTAATATAAAAGTGGTCGATAGTTTTATTATACGTATATACCTTTGTTTTTTGGTGCCTTAAGTGTTCTGTTGTAAGAAACGATATGAGTTTGGCTCCACATCTCTCTCGCTCTCTTTCTCTCTCTTTCTCTGTCTTATTCTCTTTTTTCTCTTTCTCTCTCCACTTAATATAACATATTCATAGCTTAGTGCTCAACGCTATTGTGAATGCATAGCATTTATATAGATGTGATAAAGCAAAATTTGTTTGATTTAGTCCATGTAACAGTATATACGCACACATACGCCTACACACATAAGTATGCATTTATATATTCAATAATGCTTGAGCGCGCTAATTTGGTTTTTTGTAATTATCTCGTTTATTGTTTTTGCAAAGTCATAGTGTCGTAGCACTTCGCTCGTTTATTTGCTTTTACGTCTATGACATTATGCCCTTGACCTAAAAACTAAATTTCTAGTGTCTTCTTATTTTCGTCATACGATTCTTATATTAGAGAAAAATAAATGATTACATTTTTTAGAGTTTGCTACTAGTATGTTTTACATGAATTCCGTTTTGGAAATTTATCGTTATGTTTCACTTTATAAATTATATGAATTACGTTCAAAACATCAAAAGTTAAAAACCGCTGTATTGTCTCGGTACCATGTGCAGCGGTACGTAATTTGCTTCAATTAAAAGCTGTTTCGATGAGAACTTTTTTCGGTTGTCTACGTTTGGATTTGTTTGCATGCGACATATGCTTAACAAATAATTAGCGCCTTTGATTGCGTTATGTAGTTCAATGTGATATATATATATATTTACATATACAACAAGTTTCTTAAATATTTACACATGCTTATCAGTTATAATAGTAATAAAATGTTTGCCATTATGTAAATTTATATTGTTTACAACCTGACTCTAGTGACTGGATTTACGTTTTATTTCTTTTCTGAACCCATCACCGAAGAAGAAGGGAACGGACGCTTCTCAATTAGGTGCAATTGCAACGTAAATTTAATTTGCAAAAGCTTAAAACTTTATTTACAGACATCTTTTCTTAAATGATTTGACAGATTTGACAGTTTCTTGTCGGCGAATATCACCGCCGTCTTTCTTTTTTCTATCAAATCATCTGTTGTCTAAAAATTCTGTAAAACTTCTTCGTTAGTAAGCGTTTGTTAAGGGCCAAGATGCATACATACTCAATTCCTATTTTAATTTATTCATTTGGTTATGGTATATATATATTCTTAGTTGATAGCCCGATTATATATGTGAACTTAACTACGCCTTCAATGAGTAAATATTTACATCTAAAGAGTTACACTCTGAAGCGATATTGATTCAAAACTTAGTATGTGAAAGTGTTAAGTACTTTCGGTCGCCTAACTCATACTCATACATATATACATACTTACTATGTATGCATATTTTACATTTTGTTGACTATAATCAAGAAAACACTTTGTACACAAGTTTTCTTTCTACCTACCTTCCTAACGTATCATCCAACCAAACCAAAAATATGCTTTTGTTCATACTCATCACCATTTAAGAATTATTTATTTATTTACTAATATTAATTATTACCTAATTATAAGCTAAATGGCATACTTAATTGCATAGATTATGAATTAATTGATTTGATTATGTCCGTCCGATCGCCAGTCCCTTTGCTCAGATTCAAAGGGCTTTCCCGATTTAATTCTACAGACTAACGTTGACTTTATGCATTCGATCGACTCGGAAAACGCGTTTCTAATAATTGGACGATCGATACGAAAGAAAGGCAAATATAGATTTCTTTTTTGTCCTATATTAATCATTGCAGATAAATTTCTTTATTCGTGTGTTCGTTTCGCGCACGACCATATAACGCCATACATTTTATGCGATTGTTTGCTTCGAAAGTGTTTATCCGAAAGCTTTATAATATCATGTATTAAATTGTACATACAGAACGGTGAACAACGCCGGATTTATTGTCCATATACATTGAAATACTTTTATAGTTCCGCCTGAAAACCTTTAATTTCTTCTTCAATAGCTTAACATAAACGTTGTAAAATTCCTCGTACAAATTCGGTGTTTCGTTTGCATTATGTTGTTGGTATATTTTATTCTCATTTCTCCTCTCCCGAATTCGTTCATATGAACAATTGGAAGCGAAAGCCATCAACTAAACAGAGCTAAATGTCTGTTTGCATGCATAGCAACGCTTTCATTGAACGTTACAAGTTTCATGTAAATTAACAGGCCTCTGTAATGTATATTTCGTTTTTATACAACGATATTTTTTTAAATAACGAAGCATTTTTTCTGTCATTCGTTCGCGGCTCTTTCTTTAGCTGAATTTGCAGAAGAGAAATAGAAATATTTTTAAGAAAAAAAAAAAAAAAAAAAAAAAAAAAAAGATAAAATTTATGGGTGATATAAATATTTTTTTGTTTTTTTTTTTTTTTTTTTTTTTTCAATTCTTCAGATCCTTTTCGTAAAGACTAATTTTATTTAAACTTTTCATTAAAGCTTGTTCACCCTGCTTTATTCTCGATAAGAAGAGCATGCTGCTGCATAAGCTGAAATATGGGTTCTAATTAGATTTTGTAATAGCTGTTCCTTAACGGGTATTTACAAATGAAGTAAATAATTCATTATGCTGTCAGCCCTTGCAAGTCTTTGGTATCCTATTTGCTACTTGGAATGTGTTTGCCATGCGGGAAAACCGTAACGCAAATGTTAATTTAGAAGTTTGGCCATTCAAAGTGCTAGGGATGAAATTGTACGGTTTTAAAACGACCGTAAAAGCGATTGAAAGGTGTAAAGATGCGATATGTATATGTCTTCAGTCATTGAATTAGATATCGCTAATAAACTAAAATGTGTGTATAAAGTTATACAAATGATAGCGTAATAGAGCGGTCAATAATTTCCCGAACTAAATTAAAAGAAAATTTTTATTTTTGCCCATTCATCAACATAGTCAGTCTTCTTCAGGAGTAACCCAAGGAAATCGATCATCGAAGCACAGAGATATGTGCGTTTTCTCAAAACCTTTGCATGTCCGTCTGTCCCAACTGCCCGACCATGTAATGACTATGGTAAATTTTCTCCTTGTCTCAAAAATTAGGATTTCAATAATATACGTACACTGGATGCGTGTAGCTAAATTTAACAATTTTCACACAGATACAGATACTACAGAATCGTCCATATTATATTATATACGTGCAAATTATTATAGTTTCATTTGCTGTAATTTGTTAGTAGGGTGCAAAAACCAATTGTCCTTTTCTTTTTGAAAGCAGAGAAAGTAGAAGTTTTCCCATTTTGTTTAGCACTGTATGCGTTTCATTCGAGGGTGGAAGGACATCCCATGTTTTGCAATTTTTGTGTCCAAAATGCTAGGGAATGCTTACAACAGGTATTACACAGACAAGCGGATAGATATGTTTAAGTCGATTCAGAATTTGATATTTATTGATCAAGGATATCTGAATTTTACTTCTAGGCCTTGCAACTAATTTTGCAAAATGTTTCCAATCATTCCATCGGTAGTGAATATGACAGCTAATGGTCAATGTAAGATTTTCGTTTAAATATCCCGCTACCGCTATTCCGCGGTCCATTCAGTTTCCTCTGATATTCTGAAGTCGCAAAAAGCATTTCGTTCTTTTATTTTTATATTTATGAGATCATCGTCAGAGTCGGTAAATATATATGCATTTCGAATACAATGTTCTTAACAGTAATTTTTTTGCAAAATTTTTATTAACATATTTACAGGTTTAATTATTAGGTTGTAATTTTTCTTTTACCTTTCTTTGCAGACTGTTTATATACAAAGAACAACAGCGGCAACAAAATAAACTCCATTATTATTGAACATAATAAATTAATTGAACAACAAAACAAAAGTAAAAAATACAAAGCAAAAAACATTTGAAGCCAAGGAGAAAGAACATAGAGACTTAATTATCCAAAAAGAAGAGAATCACATTTTACTGCTTACCACCATTATTAATTACACTAACAACAAGTATTTGTTAACTTTTCTAAAATTCCACTGGCAGCCAATACTGTGAGCTATCATTAAAGAATTTTTGAAATTCTCTGCTTAACCACACACCGACAACAAATAAACAAAAAAAAAAAAAAAAAAAAAAAAAAAAAAAAAAATTTAGTACACATCAAAATATTTCAAACAAAATCAAAATAAAATAAAAAAAAAGTACGACCGTCAAGAAATATTCCATTTGTCAGTCTTAGAAAAAAAGGATTCGCATCAATTCCATTGGGAGCTGGAAAAGACCAGCAGCAGATATAGCGATCTATATTATTTTATTTCCTTTTGTGTGGTCGGTTAAGGCAATTTTGTGGAGCGCCAAATCGAAACATCTTTTTTAATATAAATATTGAAATAAACGGTCAGTTTTTAATTTCGTTTTTTCGGGAGCAAAGACAGCAAATGTATATTAGCAATAGCAACAATATTGGTATGGCCACGTTGTTGCAGAACAATAAGAATTGCATGAAAACGCTTACGAATGGGGGAAGTGTGGTGGGAGTCGGTGCAGCAGGCAACATTATAGTCGGCAATGTGGTAAGTGGAGGTTCAGCGCCCACCGTTAGCGGGAGCAACAGTCAATTGGGTTTGGTGGCTTCCTCTAGTGTAGTAGGTGCTACTCACATGAGCAATAGTGGTGTAGGTACCACTACAGCCCTAGGAGGGGGCTTAACAGCGGGTACAACCAATTTAGTATTGCCTGCGCAGACTCAAACTATATTGATAACGAATAGCGCAACAGGTGCCTCTAGTTTATTAACCTATCAGCAATATCAACAGCTAATACACCAACAACACCAACAGCAGCAGCAGCAGCAGCAGCAGCAGCAACAACAGCAACAACAACAACAGCAACAACAGCAACGCTTGCTCGTCTCTCAAAACATGGTCAGTTTGCCTATTGGCAATTTAGTGAGTACAGCAAACGGTGGCTTAGCCGTAATTACTGACAATAGTAATCATCATAATAATGTTGTCGCTAGTACAGCCGCCACAGGTGGTACTACAACACAAGGTGCCTTCTTGCTGGCTACCTCAACGCATGCGAATACTGGCACTGCCGCAAGTAACTTTCAACATCAGTTACAGCACCAACTTACCGGTGGCAATGGACAAGTTGTTACCACCACTCCCGCCACTAGTGATCTGTTGCAACATCAGCAACATCAGCAACAGAATCAATCACGTTTAGTAACAACCACTGCTCCAGGTGGCGCTTTGAATGCACGACAAATTTCGCAACCCGCCGTCGCCAGTAATAATCGCACCACTGCGGTGCTTATAAATCGCAACAATAGTACTATCATTGCTGGGAATGCAGCGCAACGTTTGCAACATGCCACTATACTTGCAAAACCCGCGACTAACATCATAAAGCCGCAAACGCAGCACCAACAACAACAGCAACAGCAGCAGCAGCATCATCATCATCATCCTATTGTTGTTAATAACGTGACATTGCAGCATGTGATAAATGGTAATGGACAGACACAACTAATAAACGTTGTGAAGGCTGCAAACGCTATTAATAGCACAACAACTGCGATGTCAGCCACAACAGCCAAAACAACAATAGCAACAGCAACAACTGCCATCTTGCCACAGCAACATCAAAAACATCAACAACAACAGATACGATACGGTGCTACGTCATTACAACAAAAACTAAAAGTAGCACAGAATGCTAACAGTCAGCAACTTCCACAAAAACATACCACAGTGATCAATAGTAAAACTAATGCTATCACAAACAACACGAAAAGCTTTACTAACACTAGCACCACAATTTCTGCGGCATCACCAGCAACCTCATCTTATTACATCACCAATGCCACCACCAACACAGTGAACGGTCATCATATGACCAGCAGCAGTAACACATCAAGTTTTACCTCATCCTCTACCACCACCATCAACACAGGCTCTTCTAGCAATGCTTTATCCAAAACAACATCTATGACTATTAAAACCGATTTACCCGCTTCTACAAAAACTAATGGTCATGTTCTTAACAGTAGCTCTGACACCACCGTTAATGCCACCGCCACTACCAACAACAACAACAACAACAACAACAACAATAACAACAACAGAAATAGGAACAACACCAAAACTAATGACGGCAATCAAAGTGCGACAGTAGATAGAGCCACTAGTTCGATAAATTCAGCTAATGCTTCATCTCTTTCGGTTTCCTCCTCTTCTGAAAACACAGGATCTTCCTCGGCAGACCCAGCTAAAAGCCACTCTGAACTGAATCCGAATGTTGCTGTGAAACCAGAAGAATCGCAAGAGGCTGAACCAGAAATCGATATTGTCATCAATAACGTCGTCTGTTCCTTTAGTGTTCGTTGTCATTTAAATTTGCGCGAAATTGCCTTACATGGGTCAAATGTTGAATATAGACGCGAAAATGGTATGGTTACCATGAAATTGCGGCGCCCGTACACGACAGCTTCAATTTGGTCTTCTGGTAGAATTACATGTACTGGCGCTACTTCCGAGGATCAAGTAAGTTTTGAATATTAGTGAATAGTTTAACGAAAAATAGTCTACCACAGTGTCTTCTTTTTTGATTAACAGGCAAAGATAGCTGCACGACGCTATGCTCGTTGCTTAGAAAAGCTTGGTTTCCGTGTACGTTTTCATAATTTTCGGGTTGTCAATGTTTTGGGCACCTGTAGCATGCCATGGGCGATCAAAATTGTGAATTTTTCAGAAAAATTTAAACGAGAAGCCAGTTATGAACCAGAATTACATCCGGGAGTAACTTACAAGCTGCGTTATCCGAAAGCCACTTTAAAAATATTCTCCACTGGTAGTATCACAGTCACCGGTAAGTAAGAAACAATTCAGTAAAGTTCTTATGGACTAAATTTAATTTTTTGATATACTTAAGCTGCTAGTGTAGCCAATGTCCAAGCTGCCATTGAACATATATACCCGCTGGTTTATGAATTTCGTAAGAAACGTTCACCGGAAGAATTGGAACAGATGCGCCTTAAACAACAGTTAGCGGCTGGTTTACATGATATTATTGAACTCGATGAGACAGTAAAGTTAAATCGTCGCAAATCGTCGTTAGTTACTTCAGCTACCTCTCAATATCCGAATGCCAAAAGGCGATGTACGAAACCGTTGGTTGGTGAGAGAGAATTCGAAGAATACGATCCCGATGATCCTGATGAGGACGGTAGTAGTCTTGTAGTAGATGACGATATGGTTATGTACGATCCCAATGACCTGATAGAGGGTCCTGATGATGTTGATGAGCAAGATGTGGACTTGTAAACTCAATGTTATGGATATAAGAGAGGCAACCCTTATCAGTGTATTGTCTAGTGAATTATTGAGCCAAAAAGAAGATAGTTTTGTAGGTAAAAAAAAACAAAAAGAACAAAAAAAAAACAAAAAAACAAAAAAAACAAAAAAAAGCAAAAAAAAAACAACAACAAAAAAATAGGAATGGGATAGGAGAAAACGATTATTAAATGGTGAGGTAAGTCGTTTCTTTATTCCTGCATTGCTAAGTTTATTGTAGTTATGCCGGAGCAAAGAGCAAAATTCTTCAAATTAAGGCCAAACGGCGGCGGAATTTTTGTTTAAATATAACATAATTGTGTTATACTATTTGCAATACGTTTTTCCCCAAATTTTTAATATGCAGTTTTTTAAAACAAAACTTTTCTTTATTAACCTGAATAAAATGTAGAGACTTGTCCGACAATAGCAGCCTAATTCCACAAGGAGGCAATAAACGGTTGAGAGTTGTTGATAATTGGCGTCTTGTCGGACCAATTATTATGTTTGCTTGGATGTAATAAAACGGGATGGAAGAAAACTAAAAATGCTGAGATATTGTTAAAACAGTTTACTTTTTCTCGTTCTAAAATTGAATGGGGAAGAGAGGCGGCTCATTAAAGGCTTCTGAATGAAACTATTTTGACAAATGGCAGACATTTGCTCCACAGATGTTTTTAATGTAACAATATTTTCCGAATAGAATTTCTTCTTCAGTTTCGGCACAAGTCGTTGCATTACTTATTATTGTAGATATATCGATATCGAATTCGTCACCGTGTGTGATAACAGCCATTAAAAGACAATGAAGTAAATGCATTCACAAACGCCAAATATTTGACGCCTTGCAATTGATATTTCAAATCCATTTAAGTATGCCCATTCATCTGACAAAGTCTGCAATCTTGAAATATTGATACGTTAGCAACAACTAGGCTTGCCTTTTCTTTTTTTTTTTTTGTTTAAATTGAAAATTTTTCAATCTTATGGTATTAATCAGTTTGTTTTCATTAACTTTTTTCATTTTAGATATTTAACATTTGCTGCCAATGTATGCTTTGTTTTTTTCCTGCATCAAACGATATAAAAATTAATATTTAACAGCACGTTTATAGCGAACGTTCATTAACACGAACATCAGGAGCTTAATCAATCATTTTTTATAGCATACATGTTAGGATGGAATAAAAAGCAAAGAGCGCAAAACAATAAGCAACATAAAGATATGTTAAATGGAGGACGACTAAAATTAAAAAAAATAAAAAAAAAAATAAAAAAAAAAAATAAAAACATTAAATAAAAAAAGGAAGCAAGAAAACAAAATTGAAAATCTTTTAAATTCGCGTATTTTCAAACGTACGATGAAAAAAACCACCGCCTTTTTCTAGAATTAAATTATTTTATTATTATTATTATTATTACTTTATTATGACTTTAACTTTTTTTGCTCTTAAAACGACATTACTCTCAATAATTATTGATTGTCTTCATCCCTGCTTTTTTTTTCACCTCTGTTAATGCATAAAAAGAGAAGGGAAAGCAAAATTAATTCACGTTCTATTCAGCACATATGCAAAAACAAATTTTTAAAAAACATTATGTTTTCCCTTTCAATTGTTGTTTTTCTTTTTTATTGTTATTATGGAAATGATATTCATTCATATTTTTTTGCAACAAAAAAAAAAAAAAAAAATATCGATTTAATAAAGTTTAAGTTTTACGTAACTCCTGTTGTGAGAAAAAGAAAAATTAAGTAAAAAAAAAAATCATTTATATAAACATGTATGAATGAGAAAAAAATTTCACTTTATCTGGTCACTTAGAAACCAATTATTACTATTAATTTAATTGTAATATTTATACATATATATATATATATATATATGTATATTATATATATATATTATATGTATATGTATATTATATGTATATTATATATATATATATATATATATATATATGTATATATATATACGTATGTATATAGTGTTAAAGAAATATCCTAAAAACAACACAATACTATATTGATTATAATATATATACATTCTCAAACATATTATGAAACAAGTAAATAGTTATATAATTCATTTTCACGAACACACAGATAGTTATTGCGTTTGAAGAGAAAACTAGCTACACGCCTACGCGTATACTACACTAAAGAAACGGAAACGAAAAACTTATTTCAATAATGTCAAGCAATGTTAAAAAGAATAAACTATATAATCTTTAAGAAATAACGTAACTTTACATACACACTACTAAAGGCATAAAAAAACCGTATGTATGGAAATGAACAGCAATCAATTCTTTAAACATAAACATCATAATAAATGCGATAAGAATTGTTACTCGCTATTTACTTTAATAGCGAGTGATATAATTTATCGATAATCCATTACTGCATGCACTCTATAAACTCTCTAGAGAGAAGGTGAGAAACAGAGCCTATAATCATTCGTTAAAATCAAAATTGTCTTCATAAAAAAAATCCTTAATTACTCGCAATAGTGAATAACAGATCTCTATTTATATTAGCATCTGAGCAGCGGAATTGTAATATGTTGTTGAACATTTTAGGACGAGAAACACGAAAACAGACTTAACTATACATGAGAACTGCTTATCATCATATAAACCTTTGTACTAATTCGGTCGTCCGGCATAGTATCACGTCGTTTTTCAGTTAGTGACAAACCTTAAACAAGAAGAAATTGTATGAACGTATATTTTAAGCAAAACTCGTGAACGGCGGGAAACAGACTGTGGAAGAACAAATATAAAATAAATAAAATAGATTTAAACGTTTCATTCGTCTTGGGAGAATATTTAATACATTAATATATATATCTCATATCAACATATTTGAGTTGCGAAAAAATTTCTTAAATGGGCATGTGAGTTATTTTATAGGAGTCACTTGGATACCGACCATTTAGATGGTCTTAATAAATATGCCGTATAGTTAGTGAGCTGCAAATATTTGGCCCTGGTGGCTTGGTGGTTGTCTGGGCGATTTGCTTATCATGTCCATCTTTTCGTTAAAATTTTGAATGATCCCGATAAGTCTTTTGTGTTAGTTGCCAAAAAGTGTCAATTTGAAGTTTTTTTTTTATTTATCGCAGTTGATGCGGGACATAGATAGTTAAATCGAATAATAATTTTACGCAAATATCTTGTTTATGTTTAGACGTTTAATAGAGCGTTAGTATAACATATGGTTCAGTGGCGTGTATGACAGTCATTCATCACTTATGCGCAAGTGCGTCTGAATAAATTTAAGGAATTTGTACCAAAATTTTCATCACATGCTTAAGAGCTTGATTGATTTTTCGTGTATAGAAGTCGAAAACGGAAATGTGTCCAATAAAGTCTTGTGTAGCAAATAGAAAAGAACTGAGTATTTGTTTTGTAATTGGGAGTAGTTAAGGATTAGGGAACTTTTTTTATTATTACGTCAAATACATTGTTATCTTGAAATTCGAATTTTTATGTACATAAGAAGAGACAATGAAATTTTTGAATATTGCAATAATGTAGAAAATCATTCATTTTTTCATACGTTTTTTTTTTTTTTTCATCCTCTGTTACGTATAATTTATTGAAATTAATTAAACTTAAAGTTTGTTTGCGTGTTTCAGTAAATAATGGTTTATCTCCTTTCCAACGGTAATGATCAAACTGCGTCGATGCGCGAACCATTAACCATTAACGTACGTATACGCAATGACTGAAACAGACCGATATTGTATATCAAGTAGGCTTTAAGTTGTTTATGTTTCACGTATATGTTCTTCTTTTTTTTGTCGTATTTGACGAGAAATCTTTCAGAAATCGAATGAATTTTGTGATTTTTGAATATGTGATGGGACACATGCGTGCGTTACAGATCAAAATGCAGATCAACATATATAAACAGTTCAAGAGAAAACTTGTTCGTAATCGTGCAGACATTCGTACCGATAATATGATCGCAGATTGTTTTTACAGCTAAGTTACTCGCTAAGCTTAATTCAAAATTCAAACGTTTTTTGTGCAATTTACTCACTTGCACTCAAAATAGAATATACAAATAAAAGGGGATACGTAGATGGCTCTCAGCGTGTTGTTGCCCGCAACATTTCATTCTACTTAGCTAACGACTTAGCTAAAAAAACTCTTTCGCGTGTTTCTAATTGAATTTTTGAATTGAAACGTTTATTCATCTCATTTCATCACACGGTTACTTACGGTTAAGCGTTTTAAAACGATCCTTCTATGTTCTTTATCATTTTTACAAACAAATTCGACAAATTTCTGCAAAATATATTTAATGTAGAATATTATTATTTCTTCAAAATTTTTATTGATAATCGTTTAATTTGCACAGTTTGCTTAACTGCAAGTTTTTTCCCTTCCCCTTGTGCTTCTATCAACTTTATTACGGAGATCGTTCCAATTTGATAGCTCGCGAAAACTTGAGAATGCGGACATATTGTTTCTCTTAAAATTAATGCATTCTGATTTGAATCGAATATACTGAAAATTATGTCAGTTGAGGTTAACTCCGACGAGCTCTTGCAGACTTACGATGTCAAAGAAATTTTTATCGTTTTAAGGATTTTGCAAAAAAGAAGAGATAAGAAGCGATGTGTAGGATAACACTGGACGGATAGTTGATCAAATCGTCTTTTTTTTTTTTTTTAAGTTTTTCAAGTTGATTTTCTTGTTTATATTTGCTGTAACTCTTTTATTTATTTATTATTAATAAAATTTATTTAATACAATTTTGTCCTTATAATATTGAATTGTTCCTGTTTTTTTTTTTTCTTTTTTTTTTTATAATTTCTATTTTTTAATTCATATACAAAAAAAAAAAAAAAAAAAAAAAAAAAAAAAAAGAAATTATATCGTATAAATATACTAGATATATGTATACCTATAAGAATAAAATTAAAAATAACAACCACCAAAACTCATTAATAAGCAATAAACATTAACTATAAAATATAATGTAAAGCGAATTTTTTTTTTTTTTTTTAATTATTTGTTTTTATTAATTAATTTCAACTGATTTTCAACTATCATATTTATACAAACATTCATAAAAACATATTTACATAGACGGAATCAAGTCAAAAACCTAAGAAATATATTAACACAATAACAAAAAATAAAATAAAAGAACAAAAAAAAAAATAAATAAATAAATAAATAGAACATTTCTAATACACTCATACATAATCAACTATTGTAAACAATAACATCAACAACAAATACTATAATAACAAACATATTAAAGTAAAAATAAGAAAATAAAAAAAAAATATAAAGAAAAGCAAATAAGAAGCAAACAAGAAGCAAAGCTTAATATAATAAAGAATATAACACATAAACACAAATCTACATCATATTGTTAGACGTATTAATATGTTCAATGGTATCACATATAAACACACAAACACAAACATATTTTATATAAATAAAAATGTAGTCCATAAAATAAATAAAACAAATCGAAAATTAATATCAAATTATTATTAAAATTAAAAAAGAAGGAAAAATGATATAAAATGAAATGAATTAGCTAAATAAAGAATAAAACTCGAATTTTATTTTCAGTTCATTTTAACAGCAATTAGAGTTTTGTCAAAACAAGCATATAAACCCGGCACGTATGTTCGTTTCACATTTACACGCATGCCACTCACCGACTGACATTTGAAAACCGATATAAATCGATATTTTATAATTCATTATCCATATCTATAGAAAAATGCAAACCCAGCTGTGTAAACATTAAATAAATGTATGAAAAGAGAAGCGAATTAATTAAGCGAGCGAGAGAGAGAGAGAGAGAGATAGCGAGAGCGAGAGAGAGATAGAGAGAGAGAGAGAGAGAGAGAAAAGAAAAGAAAAAAAATGCCACTATTCTGTTTAAAAATCAAAAATGGAAGCCGAATATATTATATAAACTGAAGCGAGGAGACTATGTATCAAATCAAAATGAACTGTTTCTTTACGTACATACGTTACACACACACACACACATACATACACACACACCATAACATTTTATATAAATTAAGAATTTTATATATATATATACTTATATATATATACATATATATATATATATATATATATATTATTATTATTATTATTATTATTATTATTTTTTAAACTTAAAGCTAAAAAGTGCTAGCATACCCAATATGAATAAAATGTAACGTTGTTTTAAGTTTTCTTTATTTTGCTTTTAAATGAAAAGAGAAAGAACAAAAGATCATTTTTGAAAAAAGCCTAGTTTCATTTTTTTGTGTTATTCGCTTTTCGATTTTAGATTGTGTTATAAACTCGAAAAAAACCTTTTTTTTTCTCGTATATTATAAATAAAAATTGATTTTCTTGTGAAGCATATTCATTTGATATTATTTGAATAGCTTTTTTTGTTTGATAGTCATCTCGTTTCATTATACCCATCACACCAGCGATTTTATATATGTTAAGAATAATTTCTTAAACTTATCATATTAAATATATAAATCCGGAGAAAAGAAGATAATATTATTAAAGCAGTGCGCAAAATTCTAAGCAATTAGGCAACCTGGGCTGGAATAAGCTAGAAAGCAGAACAGATAAAATTACAAATAAATTCGAAAGGAC